TAGGGATGCAAGTAAAAATACTGGAAATAAATGGTTACATATAAACTAAAATCATAACACGCATTCTAGAACCTAGACTTACTTAACTAGATGCTTCCCCATCTTACAGAATAATGCTCACCGAAAGTCCTTTCAGCATTTTACAGCCAGGCTTGTCTGTGATCTTCTGTTCATGAGACAAGTCGCCCTGTCAGTGGAAGATGCAGGATGTCTGTTGGTACCCTCAGATATATCAGCACAGTCCTTTGTCCAACTGGACACCTGTTGCTGATTGTTTTTGTTTTGTTTTTTTCCCCCTCCGGCCTCCCTCTTTTGTCAGTTTCACAACCTTTTGATAAGCATCAGGCTCAATATGCAAATAAGACCACCACTGTGAAGTTGACAATACACAATGACTAGACAGGGAAATAAGCATCTGTTACCCCCTGCCTGAAAGGAATCAGTCCAAGGCACCGGTGATCTGCCTTACTTAAGAACAGAGTTTGCAGTATATATACATAGCTTCTTAAATATTAGCCTTACATACACATCACAATTATGACAACCAGTGGGCTACTGGCTCTCAGTACAGACCTCACCCTTTGGTGAATTACTATGCAAATATGTGAGCCAGGGGATCCCTGTAAAACTCTATACACTCCCTGTGCTCTCTGCCAATTGGCATCAAGGGGTCCCTGGGTGTCACAAACTCCTATACGAGAGTATCCTATCTGACACAGCCATACCCCCGGTGCAGACACAACTGTGCTCACAACAGAGTACTTCTGTCATCTTAGCTAATGTCATTTGTGGAGGCTGAGTACCTATGCTGGCAGAACTACTCCTGTCAGCTTCTGCAGCATCTTCATTCAGGGCCTCTGCTGGCATAGACATACCAGCAAAGGCTCTGTAGTGTAGACATGTCCAGACACATGCTTCTCAGGCTAAGACAAGCTCAGCAAAGCTTCTAATGTCATAATTACAGGGAGTCCCTTCCAGACTCACCTGATAAGGCAACTTCCTACAGTCTACAATGTGAGATGACTGCATATGTAGATTCCAGGCACAAGATGGGGAACTCATGTCTGCACTAGTGACTGACAGCTGTCAGCTAGGAGCATGTGGCACACTGGTCCTAGCCAGCAGCAATAGCTACCTCTAGTTTCAGTAAGAAGGGACAATTTAGAAGCTAACTTCCACCAATTTTAGTCCTTGTTTTAACCTTCTCCTGCCCAACAATTCTACCTCAAATTTCACATACCCTGTCTTAGTCCAGAGTAGAATTAATTTTAAAAGTTTGGAGTAAACTGAAGAGTTTTGGAGATAATGACATTTTTGCAACACAAGAGGCTCTCTTGTATAAAGTTTTAACAATCTTTGTATTTAGGTCTTGCTGATTGTCAAGGAGACAACTTACTAGACCGTCAGAAATTCAGTGGTAGTCTATCCATCCATCAAATACAAATTTATCTCTCCAGAAACACAAAACCAAATGCCTTATTTGTGATCATGCTTTGCTTGTGAGTACCCCATTACAAACGTGCACTGTCTGCTGAAAGACACCTTCATAAGACAGACTGCACACCAGGGACCAGCATGCTCTACTGTTCGGAGTTATACTAGTTATACTAGTCCAGAGGCTCTCAAACTGTGGGTCAGGACCCCAAAGTGGGTCGCCACCCCGTTTTAATGGGGTCGCCAGGGCTGGCGTTAGACTTGCCGGGGTCTGAGGCCAAAGCTTGAGCCCCATCGCCCAGGGCCAAAGCCCAAGCCCAATGGCTCCAGCCCTGGGTTGAGGGCTCAGGTTACAGGCCCCCTGCCTGGGGCTGAAGCCCTTGGGCTTTGGCCTTGGCATCCTTGCCTGGGGCAGCAGGGCTCAGGCTTTGGTTTGGCCCCCCCACCCAGGGTGCCTGGGCTTGGGCGGGCCCAGGCTTCGGTCTCCCCTTGTGTAGTCCTGTAGTAATTTTTGTTGTCAGAGGGGAGTCACAGTGCAATGAAGTTTGAGATCCCTTGTACTAGTCATTAGACACAGAGCTGGAGTGTCTACATATACAAACCTAGACAGGAGTATCACTTAGACTCAAACATATACATGTGTGAAAGCAATTATAAAACCAAATCTTTGTGGTTTCAATATTCTGCCTGCAGAGGTACAAGTACATTGCCTGCAAATTTAAGATTGGAATAGCAAACCCTTGGCAAAAGAGTTAATTTTGGTTGGGTGATCTAATCTCCAGAATTCTGTATTTTCTGATACAAAGTGGAAACTTAGTAGCAAACTCCCAAGTTGCTATTTGTTTTTGAGAAAACTACAAAACTCTCCAAAAACTTTGTTTGAAGTGATAGTGTGTAAATGAATTTTTAAAAATCTATTTTGTCTGGGAAATACAGAAAAAGATACTGGACTCCACCTTATACCCTCCTATACACATTTATAAAAGAGATAGGGATCAAACAAATGCAATCCAGTTAGATATTGTTCAGATGCAAAAATTAAAGCAGTGTTCAGAGTCACAAACAGAGCTCAGCAAGTTAGCTTTAACAGACAGTTATGGTTTTCTCCTACCCATCTCAAAAAAATATTGCTGATCTTTACTTGGTTTTTTTCCAAGTTTGGTTTAAAAGTAAAAGGATAAAGGCATAGAACTTATTATCTCCATCTTCTCTGTCCCCCTCCAGTTACCAGAGGATCTTGGTATTTATGATTATTTTAGCCTCAGTCCTGTATCAGGCACTTTGCAGACATGAAGGAAGATACAGACACTCTCCCAAAAATCTTTATCCGCAGACCAGATTCTGCTCCCATACTCACAGGAAGTAGTATGTGCTCAACAAACAGCTTCACTGATTTCAGAGGAGCTACTTGATGAGTACAGTACTGCTTAATACTATTAAGATAGCAGAATCTGACCCTGAATCTTTGCCAGTATGTATGCCAAAAATCTTGGTCTTTATACTGTGGAATATTTTGACACTACAAAACTATTCAAGCCTATTGTTTAAAAATACCAGTGCACCTCAATGTTATGCTAACCTCATGCCTACGTAAAGAAACACAGTAATTCACAGATTCAAAGTGTGATGACCTACTCTATTTGAAGAATATACTTACAATAGTCACACATCGTGGTACTGTAAGGTATAACTGGAATTGGAACTGTCCTTTAACTGTTTGCTGTTGTTTACCAAACTTCTTCTGGTTCCATTACTACAGAGAATAGCATGAGGACTTCTACTGAATAAAGATATTTCCCAAAGCCTTGGTAAAATTCCATGGCAAACTATTCAACTAGCAATTGTTCTATTTTCTTCAGAGATTTCCAAATGTAAACTGAACAACTGAAAATCACATTATATTTATTTTTGAAGTTATTGGCTTTAAACTGCTTTAAAAGGCAAAAGAAATCATAATCCAATTATTTAAATAAGATTCCAAGGTGACTAAACTATAAGAGAATAGAATTTAGAATCTATTAGAAAAACACGGTTGGTTCTCTCTCATCAACAGTGAATAGTGTTTGCATTAAAATGTTTTACATAATGCAAGTTTCTGTCTATAACACATTTACACTATCTCTATAAACAGCTTACATCACAAATCTGATGAGGAATATTGATTTATTTTTGCTTCAACTGTATTTTGATCAATAATTAAATTGTCAGAGGCATTTTTCTTTAAAAATGTAAAAACAGTTACCATGGCTATACAATTAGATTTTTAACCTGTTTATATTTTTTCAGAATTGAAAAATATAAATTGTTACATCTTAAAGCAATCAACCTTTTGGTGATTCATCTCTGTAGGCTCCACAGATCAAAGACTCCTGTTGAAGCATACTAAAGGGAATAAAGGGTTTAATGCTTTATTTTTTAAAATCATTACGTTAAACACATCTCAAATTGTGAACAGCAGGAAATAAAAATGGGACTTTATTTTATAGAATACAACTTTATTTGATATACATACTGAGATAAGTACTGACAGTGAAGTGACTGCAGGGGGGAAAAGAAGCCATTCTGAGTTCAGCAACAGCTCACCATCCTGGACTTCAGAACCCATTTCATTGAAGGAGAAGGTTGAGGGAGGAGCGGTTGTGGAATTGTTGACTGCTACTCCAGGTTTATCCTCTATTTTAAGACATGGTCACCGGGAAAAGCCAAATCTGTCCTGGATTATACCCCATGCACCAAGGGCAGCTGTACAGGGTATAGGATAGGGTAGACTTCGGCCTGGGATCTCTGATCTCTACCTGGGCTGCTTTTAAGCATGCAAAAGGAATCACATTGTACTTTAAACACAGAATTGAATTCCAGAGGTTACAGATACATTTACTCTTGTACATCATTATCACAGATGTGTCTCCATGAACCACAACAGCTTAAAGCCCAGTAGGAAAAACAAGCTATTAACATTTATAGATATTTTAAACAGACAAAATTGTTCACCACATCTTTTAGCCTACAATATAACGTTATCCATCCCAGTGCTGGGTTACCACTATAACCAAGACTTTGTACTTAATGGATGTTACCTGGCAAAAGAAAGGTTGATTAAGAACAGCTCAATTGCACATGACACTGCATATAAAACATGTAAGAATAATTTATGGCCAATAACACAGCTTTTGCATCTGAAAAGGATTTAGTACAAGCAAACCAGAAATTTACAAATGAAATACTGTTTAAAAATGAGCCACTAATATCTTTTGAAATATATAAACTGCAATTTCCAGTTCAATATTCCTTAAGATTTTTTTTTTATGGTTTGTTTAGCATGCAGGTATAACACCAGCCCCATGAAATCACAGAATCCACCTTTCCCAGTATTTTGAAAGACTGTGATAATACCTTCACAGCCATAGCAACAACGAGAACTGCACAACTCAAGTGATTTAGCCATTGAAATGTTTGCGATTAGTGATTCAACAAGTCTCTCTATTTTACTCCTCATAAATAAGCCACACCGATGCCTTCAGAGCACTGCACCCATTCATCGTATTAATATCACATGCTATACTTACCCCTTAGCAGTAATTCTTTGCCATTTTCTGTAATTTGGTTGATCATTCTTCTCTATTCTTCAGATGACATTTAGTCAGCACATGCTTTTTTAGGCAGCCCTGAAGGACCAGAACAACTAAAACAAGTAATACTGTACTTCCAAAGGAACTGTTCACTATTTCCAGGGACACACTGACTGCTGGCTGCTGCACTGCACAGAATTGATTTGGTTCATAAAGCAATATGCTTTCTCACAGGAAGACTAAGCAGACATTGATATATTCCTGAAACTATAATCCTTTCAACAGAGATGAACTATATAAATGTCACTAACATACTGAAAATGCTGTTGCTAAAATTCCAAGCTACTTATAGTCAGAAGACACATTGCCTACCATCTTCCTGTGGCAAAAATGAACTCTGGAGTTCATCGTGACCTTACAAATATTGGAGAAGTCTCTTTTCCTGGGAAATCCTAGTGGAGAACCATTAAAGACAAGACAAAATTCAAGCCTTAAGTGAGAGAAACAGTGCCTATGCATAATTCAAGCTTTAGTCAGTATGCATAAGGAAGAGGTAAGTTTTAAGTACCAGCTCTGTTTCATCACATAAATCCCTCCCCACACTTGAGTCACAGGTTTTCCTCTCCAGCCTTGCACCTTGTAATATGGATGGCCCTGAAGTCATTAGCACTATCAGTTATGCCCCAATGTATTATATTCCCCTATTTTTCGGGGATGGTTCAGCAGTTTATAACATCCAGTGCCTAGAAGCTGAAGGTAGAAATATTTAACAGATAGGGAATGAAGGAAACAAAAATGATTAAAGGTCAGAAAACATGACCTCTGAGGGAAGATTGAAAAAAATTGGGTTTGTTTAGTCTGGAAAAGAGAAGACTGAGAGGGGACATGATAACAGTTTTCAAGTATGTAAAAGGTTGTTACAAGGAGGAGGAAGAAAAATTGTTTTTTTTTTAACCTCTGAGGATAGGACAAGAAGCAATGGGCTTAAATTGCAGCAAAGGAGGTTTAGGTTGGATATTAGGAAAAATTTCCTGTCAGGGTGATTAAGCACTGGAATAAATTGCCTACTGGGGTTGTGGAATCTCCATCACTGGAGATTTTTAAGAGCAGGATACACAAACATCTATCAGAAGTGGTCTAAATCAAGGGAGGGCAAACTATGGCCCACGGGCCAGATCCGGCCCATCAGGGCTTTCAACCTGGCCCACGGGATTGCCAGCCCCATGGCATAGTGGGGCTAAGGCAGACTCCCTGCCTGCCCTGGCCCCGCGCCGCTCCCAGAAGCGGTCAGCACCACATCGCGGCAGCCCCTGAGGGAGGGGGAGGCAGAGAGCTCCATGCGCTGCCCTCATGTGCAGGCACCGTCCCCCGCAGCTCCCAGTTGTCGCGAACGGGGAACCGCGGCCAATGGGAGCTTTGGGGGTGGTACCCACAGGCAAGGGCAGTGCGCAGCAAAGCCGCCTCCCCCACCCCACCCCACCCCCAGGAGCCACTTCCAGACATGCTGGCCACTTCCGGGAGCGGCGCGGGGCCAGGGCAGGCAGGGAACCTGCCTTAGCTCCGCTGTGCGCCACTGCCACCCTGGAGCCGCTCGAGGTAAGCAGTGCCAGGCTGAAGCCCAGATGCAGAACCCCTCCGGCACCCTGCACTCCAATCCCCTGCCCTGAGCCCTTACCCCCCTGCCTTGAGCTCCCTGCCACACCCCTTCTGCACCCCAACCCCCTGCCCTGAGCCCCCTGCCGCACCCTGCACCCTCTCCTGCACCACAACCCCCTGCCCTGAGCCCCCTCCTGCACCCTAACCCCTTGCCCTGAGCCCTTCCTGCATACCATACCCCCTCCCACACCCCACACTTCCTCCTGCACCCCAACCCGCTGCCCAGCCCTACATTCAGGGCCCTGCATACAATTTCTCCACCCATATGTGGCCCTCGGGCCAAAAAGTTTGTCCACCCTGGTCTACATAATTAGTCCTGCCATGAGTGCAGGGGCCTGGACTAGGTAACCTCTTGAGGTCCCTTCCAGTCCTATGATTTCCAGTCAGAAAAATGTATTTTCCATCATAGTAGACTCAGATATTGGAATTTTTTTTAATAAAATTGTTTCAGTCTTTCCCCAAGCTGTCTGTATTTTCCCTTTTATATGACCAAAAGAAAAAAAAAACCCATCAGTAACCTCAGATTCGCAATCCAGTTATATAAATTGGACAATGGAGTAGCTGCTCACTACTATTCCTCCAAAGGGGAAAACATTGTTTTAGCTAATCCTTGTTACATTTTGTGCCAATTAACATCTAGAAGAGATTGTTCACTGTAGCCAGCCAAGCTAACGGGAAACTGCAGGGAGCACTCCATAATTAGCAAAGATGTTCTGAGGGAAGAACACCATATTTCATATGCACTACAGGAAGCAGGTCCAGCTCACCAAGTTCAGATTATAAATTCTTTGGGGCAGGGATCATGTCTTCCTCTGTGTTCTGTGCAGTCTTAAGCACTCAAATAACAGTTCACATTTACGTAGTGGCTCTAATCCTAAACCATTCCACATAAACCACCAGGGAAGCATCCCCACCACAGGATAAATTAATAATAATTTGTTTTGAATAAGATTCATCCAGCCAGGACCATCAAGGGAAGTTTTTTTTTTTTAATTAAGCTACCAGATTGACTGCTAAATATATGAGCCTTACAGAAGACAAGTGGAATGGATACTGCTCCAACTGATGCTCACCCATGATTTATTACTATTAGCTTTCTCTCTCTGCATAAAGTACCTGTTTAAATGCTGAGGTTTCTACCACCAGGCTGGTCATTTTAGGTCCTTGCCAGCTCTTCCATCTTCAGAGGAGCGCCTGGTTCTCAACAAAAAGCTGCAGCCCTTTGGCAATGGATGCTTGTGGCTCGGGTAGCATAACTTTATATTGGGCTTTTTGTCACGGGAGCAGTATTCATCCCAAAGTTCTTTTCAAATTTAAACTTATATACAAGCTATACAGAGATGATTTCACACACCATTTTAAATGAAGGCCACAGCTGGAGTTAAACAGCAGCTATTTAGCACACAGCAATACTAAGTGACAATCTAGGCCAAAAAGTTAATAGACTAGAAGCCGAAGAAGGCATTTGAAAGAAAGAATTACCAGACTGGAATTTGACAGGGCTTGTGGAGTGCCTTATGAAAAACAAAAGGTAGACTGCATATCTTGAGGTCTGGTTTAATAATGATCCACTGATTACCTGGGCAACACCCTGAGTTTCCGTGGAGATGGTCTTTGCATACACTGCCCAAGTTCAAGGCTGTTTAGCTTGGAAGCACAGACAGGCTCTCAGCACAAGGTGGGGCTGTTATAAAAGTGTGTGGCTCCTAGGTATAAAATTTGTTTCTTACTGCAATCAGCAATTTAAAGTATGCAATAGCAAGCCTCAACAAGTCTGCCTTCTCGGAAAGTTACCGTAGCTCAGCAAAATAAACTACTTCAAATGGCATGTAATAATGGCATTTTGTCTTTGAAATGGAGATGAAAGGCAAAATTACAATGGTCTGACTCCCCTAAAGATATATTTTTTCGGACAACATCTGATGCCCTAAGTAACTTCTCATACACAGGAGTAACTTCTCAGACACTGCTTAATAAAAAATGAATAAGAAAAAGCACTGGGCTGTAAGTAGGGATCTCAAAAAGATGGAGAGTGGCAGCTGGTTTGTAGGGGGAAAGTGTGACCTCTTTCATCTGTGATAAAAGAGAAGCTAAAGTCGTCAGTAGAACGAATATACTGTATTATTTAAACACATATCTGCTTCATCTATTTATCAGAGGTATTTACATGGCCCCCACTGCTATTGAATCTCTCCCAGTCAACTTCAGTCCTAGTTTTCAAAGCAATTAATGGATGGAGCCCCAGTTATACTGAAGACCAAATTTTGATCTGTGAACCAACACAACAGCTGCACTCCTCTGGGACAATGCACATCACCAGGACAAAGTATGTGAGATCTGGGAACAAAGCATTCTCGATGGAGGGGACCCAACTATAGAACAAATTTCTAGAGGAGATCAGGCAAATCCAGAGTGTTTAGGAAACACTGCAAAACTATCATCTTCAAAAAATCCTTTCTGCCATAAGAATGGGCACTCAGCACTGACCCAATAAACCCACACCAAAAGAAAAAAAGGAATAAGACCCAAAATACAAACTCTAAGCCTTCCCCCACCCCCAGCCGAGATTTCTTCCCCCCCCTTAAAATAACAGAAGTGATGGAGACGCCGTAAAATCCACTTCACTATGACTACTGAATTTACATTGAAGCTGCTCTGATACTATGGTGATGGGCAGCAGTATGAAACCATAAGACTGAGACATCTGGATTCTATCTTTTTCTAACGGATTTATCTTCAATACCTCTTAAGTGTTAGAAAAGCTCTATTATCCCCATTTCAGAGATGAGGCACTGAAATCCAAGGGCCCTGTCTTCACTGGTAAAAAAGTTATATTTTAAACACATGTTGATAAGCTGTGTTAACATCTGAGGCCACGTCAACAACACAAAGTTCTGTCAATGCGAGTTACGTCTGTGTTCAGCTGCTGACCTTTGTATATCACTTCGGCATGTGCATACTTGGGTGCTTGCACCGACACTGCACTTACTCACCATGAGTGCTTGCATCGAGGTAAAATGCAATGCATCAGGGGAAGGTATCCCTGTGTGAACCACACTGCCATCTGGCTCAATGCCTTGTGGGACATTTTTGCAGTGCTTTGTGAGATACCAGTGGTTCGCCCAGGGATTTCTGAGAGCTATGATCAAGTTCCCACCACTCCACTTTCTCCATCCCATAATGCTTTCCACATCCCATAATTTCCGCACCTTTTTAAAATTCCACACACTGCTTTTTGGTCTCCACCATCTCTTTTGGTGGTAGCACGGACCTTGCATAGCGCAGCACAACTGTGGTAGAGCAAGGACTCTGGAGTCTGAAATTAGTGCCCTAATCACCAGACCATCCTTCTTGTCATGTCCATCTTAGTACAGTGATCACTGGTAAAAATTCAGCATTTGTCAAATAGCTACAACACTATTTCTCCTCATTCCTATAATAGTACATAATAGTATATTAGTGTGACAATGGTGACAAATGCTCAGCACTGGTTTAGACATCATGCAGTAATGAGCCTTGAGGTGCGTGTACAACTTAGCATGGTTATCAATCAAAGCAACTTTGGAACAAGCTGGAGACAAATGCAACTGTAGCAATAGCTTTTAAGTCAAGCAAAGACCTCAGAATCCTGCAAGTGGTACCAAAAAGAAAATCCTTTCCCATACATCCATGCAAAAACTAATAATTTAGCCTTTCGCTCTTAAGGCTGCTACCACTTAATTTTCCACTCTGCCGGCCAAGCAAATATATGCCTGTGGGCATACAGAGCAGAACAATGATTAAAAGATCATCCGAAACTCATCATGACATTTTGTAGTGCCAAATATTTCCATG